GCTACTTGGAAGGCTGAGGCGGAAGGATCGCCGGAGCCCAGCAGGTTGAGGCTGCGGGCGAACTCAAAAAAAAAAAACGAAAGAGTTTTGCTGTTTGAAGCAACAAGGGATAAGGTCAAAACAAGGGGCTAATACACCTCGTGGCCACTTTACCCTCATCATATGCCAAGTTCATGTATAAATTAAAAGCTCTCTGGGGACATGTTCATTATTGGTCTTTTTTACTGTGGTATCCCCAGCATATAGCATGGGGTAGGTTCTCCATAAATGTTCAATGACTGAATGAATAAGTATAGGGAGAAATAAGTAGGCTAAACTTCTAGACCCAAATTTTTCACAGTGACTACCAAAAAGATGTAGCTTTGGGCAAGCCACACCCTCTCTGGGCTTATTTCCATGTCTGTGGCAATATAAGGCCTTGACTTCCTAGGCTGGGAGATCCCTTTCAGCTCTGAAACACTATGTCAATGGAATAAGACAAAGGACCAAAGTCTGACAAAACCACTCCACCGTGCTGATATCTTACAAATCATTAGAGGTAAGCAATCAGCTCAGATGTTTTATTTCCTTCTTTGGTAAATCCTCAACTGATAGTAGCAATTTCCAGCCAAGTTTGAAATGGACTACAATCTTCCTTCCCAGACCATGTGAGTAAATGGGAGGAAAGACTTAAACCCCAATTACACAATGAAATAATAATTTGTTCTCCCCAGTTGTTTCTCATTCCTTCCCTTTCGGAGATTAAAGTTTCCTTTCTGCTGCAGCCATATCTTCTACTTCTTTTGACACTTTAATCTTAATTGATAAAGATAACTTGAGAAAGACTGTACAGATGGAAAAGGATTAGTAAAAATGTCATACTTAAGATTCCCTCGCCTTTTGAGGCTGAGGTAAGTGGATTGCCGGAGGCCGCAGGTTCGAGATCCGCCTGGGCAATTTGGTGTGACCTCATCTCTACAATAAATCAAAAACTAGCCGGGTGTGGTAGCACGTGCCTGTAGTCTCTGTGAAGATATATACACCTTATGACCCTGCAATTCTATTTCAATGTACATATATTAAAGAAACCCTTGAACACGTGCATCTGGAGACAAACAAGAAAGAACACAGTAGCTTGTTTGTAAGAGCAAAATGTGAAAAACAATTCAAAAGTACACCAATGAAAGAAGAGATGAATACTAGTATCTTCATACAATGGAGTATCAGCAACAAGACGAGAGACCCACAGCTGTGTGTGTCACGTGAATTCCTTTACATACTGGCTGGGTGGGGTGGCTCACGCCTGTAATCCCAGCGCTTTGGGAGGTCAAGGATAATGGACTGTTAGAGCCCAAGAGTTCGAGACCAGCCTGGGTAATATAGTGAGACTTCATCTCTGCAAAAAAAAAAAGTTTTTAAATCCCCACATGCTGATTAAAAATGGTAAGTCACAGAAGAATATTCACAGTAAGAAGGTACTTACATGAAGTTTGAAAAATCAGTAAAACTCAAGACTCTCTTGTTCAAAGATAAATACACATTATAGCAAAATCTTAAAGAAAGGCAAGGGACTAATGACTTAAAACTTGGGATCCGGTACTCAGGGGACAAAGGGTTGTGCAAGTCAGCAGAATTTCCGAATACCTGATGTGCATTAAAATCATCTGTGCACATCTATTCTGGTTACAGGAGAAATAGATAATTTTCTTTACATCCAGTTAGCATTGAAAGACAGAAAAAAACAAACAAAAAGCAAACAGGCAAAGCCTCCTAAAATTTCTGGTTGCAGACTAATATCCTAAATGAGTCTAAATGACTAAAACCACCAGCCTTTCTGAAACTTCAGACCTTCAAATAAAGGAACAAATCTGAAGGGAACAACTTGCCAGGGGTCAGATGAGCTTCCAAGGCACTGATATAAAAACACGTGTGATTTGCCCATATCTGTCATAAGCTAAAGGGTAATGTTTTAAGAGGGCATTAATTTCCTACTATGAACAAGATCTAAAAAATTTGAATTCCTTGAGTTGCATCAGTCTTTAGTATTTAAGAATTCTTCTTATTCCTTGGCGAATATATTTATCTACCTTGAGTTAATTTTGTCCCCTCTTGAACTTTTAGATACCTTAATTTGCCTCCATTATGTGTTTTTCTTGACTATTATGATTTAGCAATTTACAGCTTGCTTGTTACTGTTATGTAGTTTTTAAGGAAATTCTACTAATGGTCAAAAACAGTCATATAAAAACTCCAATCAGGTGCCCAGAGAGAGGGCTCACTCACCAGCTGAAACTCGCTCCTCCGGCTAAAAGCCTCCCTGATACCAGAATCCCTCCAGAGTGCACTGAGAGCAGGGACGTACAACTGGAAGGTGGCAGGCTCCACAGGCAACCCTGCCTTGTTCTCAAAGGCCATCAAGAACATGCCGTGCTTCTCATTTTCAGAATACTGCCACGGTATACCAAGTTTGTCTCGTGCATCGACAAGAACTTTTGAGCCCTAAAAAATAAAAGAAAAGAACATTTAATTATAATAGAGAACCTCAATATGGGCATCCATTATCATAAAGCAGAAAACCGACAAGTTCGCAAATGTGCAACCAGAATCTGTCTCCTGGTTTCTTTTGCTGTGGCATGAAATGTCTGAACTCCTAGGAATACAACCTCATCAAGACAGATGTACGTATCTACCACACATGCTGGTCTGCCTTTTGCTATCATGCATTTGTAAAGCTACTGGAAAGAAGACAACTGACTGCAGGGAAGACCTGGCAAGAAATTCAGCAGCTTTCACTGGAAAATAAACTGCATCAGTTATAAAACAGTGTTTTAGAAACAACTACAACAACTACAGTAGTACCTCATTATCCAGCGGTATGCTCCAACACCCCCTGTGGATGCCTGAAATCTTGAACGATACCAAACCCTCCATGAACTATATTTTTTCCTAAACATATATAACTATGACAAAGTATAATTTATAAATTAGGCATACTGAGAGAGTAACAGTAATAGCTAACAACAAAATAGAATGATTACAATATACTGTAACAAAAATTAAATACACGTGGTTTCTCCCTCAAAACACCTTTCTGTACTGTACTCATCCATTTCTGACTGAAGTTGGCCACAGGTAAGGGGGCGACCGTACTACTGCCAGTGCTACTAACATCCTCGTCACTGAAATCTGGCAGCTCCTCAATACCAGAAGGATACAAGTGCTTGTTCCAACTTAAACTGGGTGGGAAAACACACAAATATGGGCAGTCAGCAGTCATGAGACAGGAAAAGACTAAAATACGACACAAGCCAAGTAGATCGCCCACTGAAACAGGAGCCGGGGGATCGTGTTCTGGACTTAACACCACCATTGTTTGTGAGGATGAGAAATGATTTTTCATTCTTTTGCTTATTTCCTCACTGTTAAAAATAAAGTTAGTATTTTCTGCCCTTTTCTTACTTCATAGACAGGGTCAAGGGGATAGAGAAATAACCTAAACTAAAATAGTATTAGGGGAAGCACCCAGCCTGTGGAAAATGCTGTCTCAGTGAAAACTGCCTCACTGGGCAGTAAAGAGGTCTACTTCCTCATTCTTAGGTTAATACTTCAAAATTAGCAAGACAGTGTCTACAAAAGTTTCTGAGTTCTGAGGGGCACACTGAATTCTCTCTTGTATGATGGATACCGGGGTGCACGTGGAGTAGCAGAGGGCTCTAAGAAGGCAGCAAAGTGCACATCTTTCCATCTGGAAAAGCCTTCCCACCGAGAGCTTGGACCAGACTGCCAGCAGCGCCCTATCCTCCGACACAGAGAACTCCAGGGTCAGCTGACCGCTGGGCACCTACCTTTATTTCTTTTTAAGTAACAGGTTTTTTTTTTTGAGTTGGAGTCTCACTCTGTCACCCAGACTGGAGTGCAGTGGCCGCTCCCGGCCACCACAGCCTCGACCTCCTGGGCTCCGGCGATCCTTCCGCCTCAGCCTTCCAAGTAGTTGGAACTACAGGCGCGCGCTACCACACCCTGCTAATTTTTTGATTTATTGTAGAGATGAGGTCTCACCAAGTTGCCCAGGTGGGTCTCGAACCTACGGGCTCAGGCATTTCACTCACCTCGGCCTCCCAAAGCGCGGGATTACAAGCTGAGCCACCAAGCCCGGCCCAGTAACAGTTTTATTGTGATATAATCCCTACACCATACAATTCACTCAAAATGTACAACTCATAATCTTTAGTTGGCACTTACGCTAAAGAGGTTAATTTCTCACACCTGGGGCACAGTGGGTGAATCAATTCTGCCTTCTTCATGTCTCTGCTATAGCATCAGGTTGAAGCCTATAACTTCCCACTTCTGCCTTAGATCATTGCATCGAATGTAATGATGACTAAAAAGAGTAATTACAATTTCTTCTCTAGACCTAGATGACCAGAACTAGCCAGTCAGAGATGTCTCTACGAATTCCCTCCTCAGGGCTTCATCTGTCTGCCCAGTTCTGTCAACCCACAAATATTTTTTCAATGCTTACTAAGGCAAAGCACTGAGCCAGGCATGCGAGAAAACAAACTTTAAGAAGCAGTGCCTGATGTTCAGAAACTCACCATCTGTCTAGGGAGACAGACATATGGATTTAAAAAGAAATGAACACCCATCCATAATTTAAAAAAAGAAAGAAGAAGAAGAAAAGAAAGGAAAGAAAAAAGAACTCTCAACCTAGGAATACGAGAAAAGTTCTTCAGTCTGATAAAGAACACTGACAAAACCCTATGGCTAACTTCATAATTAATGGTGAAAGACTGGTTGCTTTCCCTCTAAGACCGGGAACAACACAAGGATACCCACTTTTACCCTTGCTATGTAGTTACAGCCAGTGTGATAAAACAAGAAGCAGAAATAAAGAATCAGAGAAAAATAAAACTAAATCTATTTGCAGACAAAATGGAGACCTCTGTAGAAAAAAAATCCCAAGGAATCTACACACATACACACACACACACACACACACACACACACCCTCATGGAATGAACAAATGAATCTAGCAAGGTTGCAGGATACAAAATCAACACACAAAAGTCAACTTTCTTTCTATATATACTAGCAATGAACATGTGCAAACTGAAATTTAAATTGCAATGCTATTAATAATCACTTAAAAAATGCAATATGTATAAACCTAACAAAATATGTATAGGGTTTGTATGCTGAAAATTACAAAATGCTGATGAAAGAAATCAATGAACAGAGAGATATACCATGTTCACAGACTGAAAGAGTCAAGATAGTAACAATATCCCTAAACTGATAACCAGGTCTAACACAATTTCTGTAAAATCCCAGCAGGATATTTTGTGAATATAGACATGATTATTCTAAAATTTATATGAAAAAACAGATTAACTAAAGCAAGTTTGAAAAAAAAAAAAGTTAAATGGGAATCATCACTCTACCTGATTTCAAGATATGTAGATATAGCTACAGTCATCAAGACTATGTGGTGTTGGTGAAGTGACAGACACACAGATCAATGGAACATAATAGAAAACTGAGAGGAAGCCCATACAAATACAGCCAACTGATTTTTGTAAAGGTGCAAAAGCAATTACAAAGAGGAAGAATGGCCTTTTCAACAGATGGTGTTGGAATCATTAGATAGCCATAGGTAAAGAAAAAAAAATCTTCACCTAAACCTATAATACAGGAGACTACCTTCAGGATCTGGGGCTTGATGAAAGTTCTTAGATGTGACTCCAAATGAATAATTTATAAGAAAAAAAATCAATAAATTGGACTTTATCAAAACTAAAAACTTTTGTTCTGAAAAGACAAGCTGTGGACAGGGACAAATAACTCATTTAGAATATATACAGTACACTCAAAAGTCAACTGTTTTTTAAAAAAGCAAACAATTCAGTTAGAAAATGGGCAAAAGACATGAAAGGTATTTCACCAGAGAACACATACAGAGAGCCAATAAACAAGTGAAAAGATGTTCAGGATCACCAGAAACCACCACACATCTATTAGAACAGCTAAAATAAAAGACAAGACACTAAATGGTGGAGATGTAGAGAAACTGGATTCCTCATACATTGCAGGAAGGAATGCAAAATGATGCAAACTAGAAAACAGTTGAGGAGATTTATAACTACCAGACAATGCAACATTTGTACTGCCAGGTATTTACCCCAGAGAAATAAAAACTGATGTCCATACAGAAACCTGTACAGTAATGTTCATGGCAGTTTTATTCATAGTAGCCAAAAACTGGAAACAAATGGATACATCCATACCATGAAATATTACTCAGCAATGAAAAGAAATGAAATATTGACATGCAACAACCTGGATGGATCTCAAGGTCGTTATGTTAAACGGAAAAAAGTCAATCTCAAAAAGGTTGCATATTATGTAATTCTGTTTATATAACATTCTTGAAATGACAAATTATAAAGATGGACAACAGATTAGTGGTTGCTGGAAATTAGTGATGCGGAAGACGGGGTGGGACGCATGTGTGTGGCTACAAAGGGACAGTATGAGGAGGTCTTTACAGTCTCCATTATGGTGGTTACATAAATCTACACAGGTGATAGGAGGGCAGAGAACCATACATACATTGTACCAGTGTCAATTTCCTGGCTTTGATATTATACTGTAATTACAGAAGTCTAAGTATGGGAAAAACTGGGTGATGTCTCTCTGTATACCTTTGCAACTTCCTGTGAATCTATGCTTATTTCAAAACAAAATGTTTTTAAAAAGTTAACTGGCAATATATGTTCCAGTTATGGGGCATGGAGAGGGAAGGTTACTGAGGCCAAAAGAAAGGAGATTAGTAGAAAAAGGTGAGGCTTGGTAAAATCCTAACTGGAGGTGGGTCTCAAACTGGCCTTTTGAATGAAGTGTGGGTTCAGTTAAGCAAGCGATCTAGAACCTCCAGAGGGAAAACGTGATTTAAACAAATCCTCCACTCTCCTTCCTCCCTGTTCTGCCGCTCTGCGTCCTGCCTCTGGGCTCTTCCCATATCTCCACCTTTTCTGACTACACCACACAAACTCCTGCCTTCCCAAAAGGGCAAAACCAAAAAAGGTTCAAGAGCCCAAGGAAACAAGTATGATTCCCATTTTCTACACTATGCACAACAAAAACCATCTGAATATACAGGTCACATCGATTTCTCTGGTGTGGTCTTGAAAAGGGTCTCTGCACCTTTGTGCAAATCAGAAAAAAGCTCGCCAGTGTCCAGGCAGATGTGGCCCTAAGCCAGGCAACAGCTCAGAGTTTCAGCCTCCAGGTTTTCTCCCCGTCACCCCTTCTACCAGGTCGCAAGCCCACCCACCATCTGGCAAAGCCCTGCTTGTACAACACAAATATATGCAAACTGAATCTAACCCATAAGGTATCTTTTCAGGTGCTATTTTTTTTTAATAAAAAAAAAAAAAAAAAGGTTAGCTTCACAGGAGTGCAAGTTTATAGTTAAATCAAGTCTATAATCCCTGGGAAGTTTCATTTTTAAATATCAGAGATGAAGGCAGGGGCCAAAATGGGCTTAGAAGCCTGAAGGACATTTACAAGGACTGCTTCCAACACTGCACAAAGTAGGCCTTCCCCAACTATTGGGGCAAACAGAGGTTTGGCTTAAAACACACACATACAACTGAGCTATCCAACAGCAGACTGTATTCCCACTACACAATGACACCCACCCAAGCTGAAACTGGTCCAAATTAACTACACCCAACCACAAGAAAAGACTCCTAGTTCTCTTTTTCAAAACCCAAGGAAGTTGGCAAAACTGCCAACAAATTTTGAACTATAACAGTTGACTATAGTCCACTTTTTATCTTTGTCACTTCATTTGGAGGAAAGGGCATTAAAAAAAAAAGATGTCCCTCTTTGCCCTTTAATTTTTTGAGTTGGAGTCTCACTCTGTCACCCAGGCAGGAGTGCAGTGGCACGCTTACGGCCACCACAGCCTCGACCTACTGAGCTCAGGTGACCCTTCCGCCGAGTAGCTGGAACTACAGGTGTGTGTCACCACACTCGGCTAATTTTTTTGACTTATTGTAGAGATGAGGTCTCGCCAAGTTGCCCAGGTTGGTCTCAAATCCATGGGCTCAGGCAATCCTCTCACCGCCACCTCCCAAAGTGCTAGGATTATAGGTGTGAGCCACTGCCCCCCGCTTCTTTTGCCTTTTTAGATTATTCTAGTCAAATCAGAAACTGCTTTCTGACAACTCT